GCATTTGTAATGCAGTAGAAAAATAGTTATGAATACTGATAAATCGGTCATTTATCACACATAACATGTAAATTATCTATAGAATTTTGAATTTTTATACTTTTCCTAAAATCTTAGTACATTTCTGTCAGGTTTAATTTTATCAAAATATTTGTGCTCATCTGGAGACGTGCAGCTTTAAAGCATAAACCAATATAATAATGATTGTTAAAAGGTGTTAAGAATTGAGAAATGGTTTAATCAGCTATGTTTTAGTACAGAACATAATTACTATTCAAGTTGAAGTAGATCAATTCCAGAATTTATAAAACATTCCTTTAACATGACATTTCACCTTTGAAAACTAGAGTGCAAAAAATGGTCTCAAATTTGAACTAAATTTACACTCGTCAGAATATTTTTATTTGCTTTTAAATGCAAGGGAAAAGCAGAATTTTGGTAAATTTAAGAAATTCCAAAAAGTTGAAAAACTATTTTGTTTTATTCATGAATAAGTTTGAAAAGTTCAATTGTTCTCAGATGTTAAGATTTTAATTGATAGAAATGTGCACACAAATTGCTGGATTTCTGTAAAGATTTTTTTCTATTTGGTCATTCTATTAAGGTGGTCTTTAATCAGCTTTAATACTTAATGTTACATGAAGATACATAGCATAAATTGTTATCATAAGATTTAAAAAAATGAATTTGTGTTACACAAATAAAAAAAATATAGAATAGGGGGAATATACATGTATTTACCATAAAGCATTGTCAAATACATATGGCTGGTTTAATGGGTTAAGGAACTGTATTATGATAAAAGGCTATTTTAAAAACTTATCTGTCCCAAAATCATATGTATAAAATCCTCATAACATTAATCCTTTTTTATATTTATTATAAAGGTTTCCATTATAGATCATTTGACAAAAATGTTAGGTTCTACAGGTCCTTATAATGGTGACTACTTGATCCTGTAGGAATGGGATTGGTTCTACAGGGTATACTTGATCCTGACAAAACAGTAGCTGTTATCACCTCTCCCAGGTTGGGCAAGTGCAGAGTCTCAACCTCAAAACCAACCTTTACCTCTGGAGGGACTGCCATGAGGGCACAACTTACCTACTGGACTAATTTAGATAACCACTGGGATATCTGCAATCAAGGGTGCAGCTGTGATTACCTCCCTGTCTAACTCTACTGTAACCGCCTCACCACTAGATAGTGGCTATTACCACAAGTGGTCCTCGAAACTCCTCTTTACCCTCAAAGTCTGTAAATGAAATATATAGACAAACTGATTGGCAGCTCAGATTGGGTAATATGGCTCTTATAACTCTAGGAAAACTTAAGGGATTAGAGTCCAACCAAGTCCTGTTACCTAGTAGGGACTTAAAATATGTCAAGTCTTATAAGTTAACCTATATATTAAAAATAGTTTGGCAAATGACTGGAGCCTCCACCTCAAAAATATACTCTAAAGACCCTACTTCAGAGCCTATCTACTAGTATACCTTAGGAGGAAAAGCCTTATGGCACAACTCCTACTAAACTAATTTATATAACCACTGGGATATCTGCAATCACAGATGTAGCTGTGATGATCTCCCTGTCTCTCTACCAAAACCTTACCACTAAATAGTGATGAAACAGTATAAGCTGAATACCACCTCTTCAAGGTTTGGCAAGTGCGTACCCTCTATCTCAAAAATATACTCGAAGGCCCTACTTTAGAACCTCTATCTCGGGAGGAAAAGCATTGTGGCACAACTCTCCTACAAAACTTATTTATATAACTACTGGGATATCTGCAATCACAGGTGCAGCTGTGATGACCTCCCTGTCTAACTCTACTGAAACCTCTTTACCACTAGATTGTGGCTAACCACTAGATAGTGGTCGTCAAATCTCCTCTTTTATCATAGAAAAATAAAGACAACTTACTGGCAGCTGTATATTTAAACCTCTGCAAACAAAGTTTGCGGTGGGGGCATAATACTATACTATAGGTTTTATGATGCCTTGGACTTGACCTGTTTTATATTGTATCACTTGCAGATTCAGGCTTTTGTCCTTTTGAGACAAAACTCTGGACTAACAGTAAACACTTAATTTAAATCCAGTTTATTTCTTCAATGTCCAATATCGAATGATACTTTAATAATATCTTACAGTTTTATCAAATAAAACATTTTCAAATACAATGTGCCGAAACGGCGGCAAAATGATAATGTTTCTGCAAAATCATAAATTACTTTTCTATTGTCTCTTGAATTGCAACTCCAAGTTGATCTGTATTATTTGTATACATTATGTTAATTGTATTGATATACTGCTAACAGCTATTTAAAGAACTTTATGATTTTGAACTATCCAGCAAAAACATGCTTATCTCTTGTCCGACTTTTGGAACAACGTGACCCAGTGGTGATGGCCGTTGTAATAAATTTGTGTTGCTGCTGATTCTGTTGCATTTTCTGCAGAATAAACTGCTGTTCTAAGGATGTCTGAGAATTTTTTTTGACATCTCTCCACATGGATCAGATTGTCCATTTTCTGGAGCTGGGTTTTCCTTTTGCATTCTTGTATTTCCGATGCTGCTACCAATAATCTTGGTTCTTTAATAAATGAGCCGTGTCATGACATAACCAACATAATGCGTTTGCGACCAGCATGGATCCAGACCAGCCTGCGCATCCGCGCAGTCTGATCAGGATCCATGCTGTTCGCTATCAGTTTCTCTACTTGTAATAGGGTTGGTAAGCGAACAGCATGGATCCTGATCAGACTGCGCAGATGTGCAGGCTGGTCTGGATCCATGCTGGTTGCAAACGCACTATGTTGGTTTTGTCATGACGCGGCTCAAATGGTTATTGAAGGTCTCCTGCAGCTTACCTTACATTATTTCCTTAAACATGTTGTATGACCAAAACAGGTTTCTTCTTGCTAATTCTGTTGAATTATGAAAATAGCTTTAACACAATTGTGTTCATCCATCAAACAAGTATTGTACCTCATCAGTGTTTCCTTCCTCCTTTTTGAACGTTTTTGTCAATTTGATCTCTTTGCAGGTAACCAGGAATCTCAATATTGACATTTTGTAATAAATGAGTTACTATAGTATTACTTTATAATATAAATGATTAAATTTTGATAGACAATAATTTAATAGATTTGAAATATGTTTAGTATTGACAAACATGTATATATAGTATGGAAATCTAACACTTGTTCATTAAAATACGTCTTCGTTTTTTTTAAAAGCAAGTAAAATACACTGTCTAAGGATTATGAGCAGATTATTATTTTATGTAATATCCAAGTCATGTAAAATTTGTTCTCGAGAGACTTGTGCCTGTAATAACATGTAGACGATATTTGGTTTCTGGTAGATTTATTTTTTTATGCCCCCGAAGTTTCTACAACTAAGGTCCTGTATGTTGTAAATGAGTTTGTTACCATACTTAATTGAAAAAAATCAAATTATATATATGTATATAAATATGCTTATAAAACAATTTTCAAACTTCGAAGGATATGTAAAATATGTACTGCAAATATTTGTGTACATTATAATAGAAGTGAGGCCAGTTAACCTATAGGAAACATCATTTTATCTAACCAGTAACTTTTTGACTAAGAAGTTGAAATTAGGAATCATTTATTCTCTGTAATATAAGTTATATCTAGTATATGAAAAAAACATTCCTGGATATTGGACCTTATACATATTGTTAGATCTGATACCCCATTTTTCTTCTTGTGCCGATCGAAGATATCAAAAATCGGAAAATTTGAAAAATGCTATTTTTATTTTTTAACACTAACCATGTTTTCTTTTGTTTTGTTTTCAAAAATAACGTATAGTACAAACTTTCCATGTAATATTTATGGGATATATATAGAACATATTTTTATGCCCCCACAATGTGGGAGCATATAGCATTGCACTTGTCCGTCCGTCAGTCAGTCAGTCCGTCCGTCCGTCCGTATGTCCCGAAATCTTGTGAACGCAACTCCTCTTAAACCGGATGGCAGATTTTGCATAAACTTACAGGGATGAACAACCTTAAGGTGTAGATGGTAGTAAAGGAAGGAATTTTCGCTGCGACCAAATTTTACAGAATTATGGCCCTTTGTTGATTTTTTCACTATATACTATGTAGAAATTTTGTGAATGCAACTCCTCTTAAACCGGATGGCAGATTTTGCTTAAATTGACAGGGATGAACAACCTTAATGTGTAGATGGCAGTAAAGGAAGGAATTTTCGCTGCGACCAAATTTTACAGAATTATGGCCCTTTGTTGATTTATTCACTATATACTATGTAGAAATTTTGTGAATGCAACTCCTCTTAAACCGGATGGCAGATTTTGCTTAAACTTACAGGGATGAACAACCTTAATGTGTAGATGGCAGTAAAGGAAGGAATTTTTGCTGCAACCAAATTTAACAGAATTATGGCCCTTTGTTGATTTTTTCATTATATACTATGTAGAAATTTTGTGAATGCAATACTTCATAAACCGGATGGCAGATTTTGCTTAAACTTACAGGGATGAACAACCTTAAAGTGTAAATGGCAGTAAAGGAAGGAATTTTTGCTGCAACCAAATTTAACAGAATTATGGCCCTTTGTTGATTTTTTCATTATATACTATGTAGAAATTTTGTGAATGCAATACTTCATAAACCGGATGGCAGATTTTGCTTAAACTTACAGGGATGAACAACCTTAAAGTGTAAATGGCAGTAAAGGAAGGAATTTTCGCTGTGACCAAATTTAACAGAATTATGGCCCTTTGTTGATTTTTCATTATATAATTATATACTATGTAGAAATTTTGTGAACGCAACTCCTCTTAAACCGGATGGCAGATTTTGCTTAAACTTCCAGGGATTAACAACGTTAATGTGTAGATAGTAGTAAAGGAAGGAATTTTTGCTGCGACCAAATTTAACAGAATAATGGCCCTTTGTTGATTTTTAGTTTTCAACTTGCGGCACATGTAGTCCAAAAAATATTTGACCTAGTGTCATAAGATTGACAGAACAGTGGCGTGTAGGGGCATCCGTGTCCTATGGACACATTTCTAGTTTAATTTAAATTTTCATGATAAATCTGAACTTTTCCCAAGGTAAGACATTGACATCGCTGTATTTGCTAATGAATATAGACATTTTAATGACGGAATTATTTCTAGTCATAATTTATATATCAATACGGACTGAAACAACGTTTGTTTTTTTTTCATCTAATATTAGAATACAAGACAAACTACCAAAAATATCATTTAGTCTGTTTTCATGCCGAACACAGAAAATATATAAGCGGCTCTCTGATTGGTCGAGAGCATTTGTCTCCCATGTCGTCATTGGTACATTTACTATCCGATTTTGACTTAAAGCTCAATATTGTAAATGCTAACGAAAATTTTTTTTTTTTTTTTTTTTCCCTTCCTTTAAGTTAAAATGACTGATTGAACTTGATTATGGGTCAAACCATATGGATATTATCAGTGGAAATTACTTTGGATCAAACGGGTATGCATCATCTGCATTGATTTGCTCTTCGTAAAACAAAGATTCTAAAATTAATTAATGTAATATTGACTATTTCAGTAAGGGCTAACGATGTCTTATAATTATATCGGAATTAAATGAAATAAACTGCACCGCGGCAAAGCATTTGAATCTAATAGAATCTGTTATAAATTTCGTAGATTCTACCATCCGGACAATTTTATTAAGATGACATTATGAAACATATCTCTTTCGGGAAAATATGGGGGCCCTGATAAGGACCATTACGTGATGGAGTGCCCTGTTATATGTGATGGTGACACATAAAAGGCAGGGACACTCCATCTGATCGCCGTATAGCAAATGCGAAGAAACATGGGCACAACAGTCCATTGTTCCCACGGGATAAAAGATATCCGTTGGGGGATAGATGGATGGCTATCCCCGCTTCTACCACCTTCTCAACACCAAAATAGATGAGGGTCGTAGCGTTGTGGCGTAAACCATATGACTCGTGACTATCAACGGCATGTATGTAGTCGCGAGTCATTACCCTCACACCGTCGAAATTGATAAACTCCCAACCTCTGTCATCCGTCCCATGGATCATCCTTCGCGGTATGACAGTGGGATAACACATATTCAACCCGAAGCTATGACCTTGGACGGCCCTCACCGCGAAACCATGATAAGTATATCTCAATTCAAATCGCCCCTTTTGGTCTTCCTGGGCGATCTTCTGTAACTGGGCTATGGTTAAACTGCGAAACTCTGATAACCCAATAATGTTAACTAAGAGAATGAACCCCTGGTCATCCATCTGGCAGCCTCTGCTTAGTGCGGTATGTCTTAATAAACGTACTAACTGTTTTGGAGTATTCATTTTGAATGCTAAGATTGTGTGTGTGTTTGGTTTGTTTACCCTCGCCACCGGAATGAACCATATGGGCGAGCACATACTTCATTTAAAACTTGCTTAATTTATATGGGAACTAATTTAATTTGTCTACAGTTTTATCGATACATGTGTTTACGTGTGTGCCATAATTCCCACCACAAGTTCGTATAAAAGTACGCAACCCATGATAGGAATAAGATGGGATTGCTCCCATACTAAGTTAAAATGACGTGTATTTAAAAAAAAAAGAACAGCATATTTAAATTACCTAAAGTTAAAAGGGCCGAGACGTTTATAAAAAGCACCGTCTCTTATAACAGGTCAACTATTATAATATTCTATGATTAAAATGAGAGAAAGAAAGTCTTGTTAAAGCAATGTCAGGAACGCATTTTCCCAATTCAATGTGGCTAGTCATTAGAGGTCTAATTTGATCAGATACATACACAAAGGAGTGTCAAAATATTAGAAAACAAGTTTGTTTTAGTATGGAAATGATAGATTTTAATAATTTTCTAGCATATTTCACCCGAACACCTGCTTAGTTAAAGATGTTCTTATTGGTCTAAAAGTGATTGCCTCCTTTGTTCTCATTGGCCGAAATTTCTCTATTTACAAAATAAGGAGGTCAATCCGATTTTGTGATTTTTTGCAAATTTTCTTAATTTTAGGATTGACCTACAGGCCTCGACATTAGCGGTGGTCCATTGGTCCGAGACCACCTGATTTTGGCAAGGACCACCTAATTTTACAGGCAACTGGTCCGTTAGACCACTTGAATTTTCCAAATGGTGCAGGGCTCATCTGGGAGAATGGTCATTTGGTCGAAAAACGAGTTCTATAATTGTTGTTTAAAATCATTTCTCCGATGTACAGGTATATGTTCATTCATCTCATAAGTTCAAAAAGATCTTAAGACATCCATAACCTTTTATTAACTCACAAACAGTGTAGTTAAAAAAAGTAGAAAATCATTTTAATAATTAAAATATAAAATTCATTCAAATGTCTCTAGTACTGCATTGAATTTATAACATTGTATCACTATGGGATATCGGATAAACACATGAATAATGGTGCAAACAAAGGTAAAGGAAAAATTAAATATCTAGTAATCTTTGGCTACTTTTTTAAACGATCAGAGATCCATTTTTCTCGTATTTAAAGTACTTTAAAAGGTTATTAATACTTTGTCAAAAATAAATTAATTTTAACAAACAAGCATGAATGATAAATCTGTGAGGAAGATAAGCTCAATTAAAATGTAGGAATTATTCTGTTTATCATTAATATTTCATTGTTTCAAAGACAAGAATATAATAACTTAATAGTTTGATTAAAAATGTTAATCTATAAAAAGCAATTATTATTCTTATAAGATGTACCAGGAAACAGCAATGAGTATTTGAATAACAGTAAGGAAATAAGTCATTCACAAATGGTTTCACTATTCCCTAACTTGAGTTGCGGAAGAAGTCACTTAACCGAAGTATGAGTACTGTCATGTATTTTTCAATGAGATATTAAATACTAAATAGGATAACAATGACTTACTATCTGATCTAAGATTGAAATAGAAAAAATACATGTTTTCTTCAGTTGTTATTAATCTAATAATAAATACATGTATGTCTCTGTCACCAATTTTATGTGTAGCTCTTCTAAAATCTGAAGTTTCCATAAAAACTAATGAGTAAAAAAAAGATGGACCACCTGTGTTCAGAAAGGACCACCTGAATTTTGGATCCAGTGGTCCGGCATACCACCTGCTGAAAAAGTTAGTGTCGAGACCTGACCTATATCGACAGGTTTGTCGCCCGAACGTGATAGAGATTTAGCAGGTGCCCTTAACACTCCATTGTATTGCATCTGTACAACTATTAACAAATAAGGATAAAACAACAAAAAGCTTGTAAAATAGCAATTTTTAAATCAATGGTCTAATCTAGATTAGAAAATTCCCAAAATATGGCTATAAGTAATATCTTTGTTACCCTTAATGTGATGAAGTGACCTTTTTTAACAAATATAAGGCCACTTCATACTTGAGTGTATGCGTATAACTTATGCTCCATATGGGGGAACACATACACTTTTTTGTTTTATATACAGGACAAAGAGAAGAAGTAAAAATAAACACAGGGCGGGGGAGTAAGGATATTTACACTATATGGAGTCTTTTAACATTAAGGGTAACGGTAGCCTTCCTTCCCAATTTTGTTCGACCACTTGATTTACATTTTAAAACAATATCTGGCATGTAGACCCAATTAAGATAAATTGATTAAAATTTATAATATCACATTGTACTTCCGTTTCACGGCCACTTCCTAGGGCCACAGTTAAAATATATAAATATTAAGACTATGTAATATACATATTTACAATTAAAAGTATAAGTCTACATGCCTAGACAACATTTAAAACTAAAAGAGTTAAGTGTAGATTTGCAACACCGTCCGCGTCCGTCCGCGAAATGAGGATTCGAAAAACAACTTGGTTAATAAGTAAATATTATCTCAATCATAGCAGTAATAGAAATTCTACTGGCAACCTCACAGGATATTGTATACCACATTTTACCCAGTGAGTCTAACCATCCCACTGAAAGTAAAACTCCCTCCCGATAAAGGCGAAGGATAGATGTTAACCAGCAGCAAAACTAAATACTTAGTAGATAGAGAACAATATCATTAAAAGTTATAAATGTCCAAAATGACAAACACGTGCATCCATTACAACCTATACAAATTAATAGTTAATTAATTACATAAATTAGTTACATTCCTCCTGCCACCCCCGGATAGACGACCTGGATCTTTTGTTTAATTATATGGCAAGCCGAAATCAGAACCGGACCAACGTACCAACAACGACATGAGAGGTCATTTATTAATTTAGAAAAACGAAAAAGTTCTGAATATCATTAACTAAAACTCGAAAAAATCATTTTAATATACTGTGACCAATCATATTGTCCCATTTATACATTTTATTGAATACTGTGTTTTGATTGGTTACCAGCCAACAAGTGTGCGCAGTCATATATGAAATTTAGAGGAATTAGACTGCATGTACACCTTTTTATAAACGTATTTTTTAAACTATAAAGACCTATTTCTTAGGTGAAAAAGAGATTCTATAATGTCTGGTATAACTATTTAACGAAAAAGTTATCACAAATGTTCAGTCTTATCTAGATGATTAGAATTGATACCCCATTTTCTTGTTTTCGTAATGGATAGAAAATGAGGAACGTTAACCTCTACGGAACATCAATTTATATATTCAATAATTTTTAAATCTAAAGTTGAAATCGTATGAAAATTATTTCCTGTAATACATGTTATATGTATTTAGTGAGGAAGTATTTCAAAATATTGTATCTACTCTAAATCGTTGAATCTGATGTTCCATTTTCTTCTTTAAGTGCTGAAAAACCGAAAAAACCTAAGTTCGAAAAATTTAATATAAATGATTGTATTTTAATGCTAAGATTCAAAATTCAGAACAAATATATAACTACACAGTGTTTGTCCCCTTTGTTCTCATTGGTCGATACAAAATAAGTAGGTCAATCTGACTTTGTGCAAAATTATGCAAATTTACAAATCCCTTTTTATGGGTAATATAGAGGTCATATTTTTAAATAAAAATTATATTAGTCACCTTAAGACCATGCATCTAGTATATAAGATTTGTAACAGGGGTTATTCTCGTCTGATTTGTTTTGACGTGGGAGGGGAACCTTTTCCTTTTTTTGTGACACTGTGTTTTGAACCATATTCTATTGTAAAACTCAAGATCCTGTTTTTCTCTTGTTTATTTCCTTCCAGTAATTTTCTTAGTAAAAACGCTGTAACGAAAGTTGGTTCCACAAAATAATTTTATTTCAAGCAAAGCATATATAAAAATGAACCCTAGGTTTACCCTTATATATGCTTTGGTTGTGACAAGCTTATTTTCCATGATGACCATAGCAACTTAATCCAGACAGCAATGAACCAACATGTTACAGGACAACAAATTTAATTACCTATAAGGTGTTAACAACCTTTTATTAATTTATAAATACATTGAAAAAAAACATAAAAGAGATATCACTAATTCTTACACTGAAGGGGTATTTGTTGAACAATATGCTTGTAAATAAACTTTTATAAGCATAATAAACTTTTATAAACATTATATACATCAAACTACATAAAAAGAAATAACAGTACATAATAAATGATTAAAAGAATTTATGCCTATACAACAACTCTGGGACCAGAGGGGCAGTATTAATGGTATCACTCACAATAGTTGGTGTTGTATTGTCAGTATTATTATTGTTTACAGTTTGTGGTCCAGATTCCTGAAATGGTTTTAATCTGTTGGAATTGACAAGTGACTTCATGAATTTGCCATTTTCAACCAACTTAAGTTTAAATGTATAATTTGGGCCTTTTTCTACAATTTCATAGGGACCAACAAATTTCTTAGAGAGTTTCTTTGTGAGACCTGGTTGTATGTTTTCTTTTCGAACTAATACCTTCTGACCAATCTCGTATTGTGGCTCTTTACTGTCACGATCATAGTATTGCTTTTGCTTTATTTGTTGCCCTAACCGGTTTGATTGAACAATGAGCTCTGTTAATTTCAACTGTTGATTAAGATTATCTACATGTTGTTTAACATTTTGTGGCAAATTTTCTTTAGGAATTAAAGAGGTATCTATTGGGAGCCTCATTTGTCTACCAAATAGCACTTGGTAAGGGGTAAACCCAGTAGAAACTGAAACTGAATTCCGAAAAGCCATCATAACTGAAGGGATGCAATCAGACCAGTTATCTTGATTTTCATTGCTTAATGTTCTTAAAGCTTGACCTAAGGAATGGTTTACTCGTTCAACTACACTATTGGTTTGAGGGTGGAATGAAGAAGTATGGTGTCTAGTGACCTGAAACTTTTCACATACAGCAGTTACTAATTTAGATAGAAAATTGCTCCCTC